CTGTTTTTCAACTCGGTCCATCACAGAAACATTGGCTACCATAGCAGTATAGTATTGCAACATGGTATTTGGGTCTTCTAACTAAAATAGGAACATAAAAAGTGCCATCATTGCCACACCTGGACCACACCTGGTTGGCATACACCCTGCCATGACACCAGTCAGTCAGACGTGCCAGCTTGATGCCGGATCCAGGCCAGACCTGTTTTCTATGAGCCTGGGCCACATAAACCAAACCATAATCAGGCCAGATGTGGTATGCCATCACATAAATAATAATAATAATGGATTGGATTTATATAGCGCTTTTCAAGGCACCCAAAGCGCTTTACAATGCCACTATTCATTCACTCTCGCATTCACACACTGGTGGAGGCAGCTACGGTTGTAGCCACAGCTGCCCTGGGGCAGACTGACAGAGGCGAGGCTGCCATATCGCGCCATCGGCCCCTCTGGCCAACACCAGTAGGGTAAAGTGTCTTGCCCAAGGACACAGCGACCGAGAGCCAGGACAGAGAGCCCGGGGATCGAACCAGCGACCTTGCGGTTACATATACGCTTCCCAACCCCCTGAGCCACGGTCGCCCCAAATAGAGCCATCTACACCAGGGCTGACCCATATCTGGATGACATAGCAGTTACCATGCCAGAAGTCAGCCAGCAGTGTCGGCTTGACACCTTATCTGGGCCAGACCTGTCTGCTATGTGGGGTATGGTTTGTAGCAGTCTGTGACACTTCAGTTCAGCATGTCTAGAGCCAGCCACTTTCCAGGGCCTCTTGGACTGGGTGCTGGGTCTGCATGCTCCATATGCTGATGGCTATCTGAAGGGCATGATCATCCATAGGTAACGACTCTTCTGTGGCAGGTGTAGTTTGTGCCTCAGCTGCAGGTGATTGGTGGAGCAGTGATTCAGGGTGTGGTGTCAGGGGAGGCTGACCTACAAAGCTGACCTCCATCATCTGATCATGCCTTCCCTTTCGAGTAGGACCCTAGAGCCTAGTGGGAGAGCAGTGTAGTGTGCAGCTGGAAAGCTGCATGAGCAGAAAAATGCCTGTGTGTTGAGTCCTTCTTATCAGACTTTCAAATACAAACATACAAACAAATGAAACCATAGATGTCCATAAATTTAACTATGCATAATAATGTGAAATGACACAGGGAAAAAGTATTGAACACATAAAGATATGGAGGTGCAAAACGGCATATAGTCTTCATAATCAGGATACGATGGGAAAACCAGATTAAGGCTTTGTGTTCTTATGCAAGAGAAGAATGTGAGCTACATTGTGTTTAGAGAGGAGAATTTTGTGACAGGGTATCAGGCAGAGTCTCTGCTTATTTGCCTTCATGTAGGGGTGGTTGGCCCCTTGAGTGCTTTCAGCCCCCCACGCACATCCAGTACCCACCATGTAGTTCATGTATTTGGACATGAGAGGTCACAAAAAATTTGTTTTGTCTTTTAGTTCTTCTTCTTCTTCTTCTTCTTCTTCTTCTTCTTTGTTTTTGGAAATAAAGGGAGATTCAACTGAATATAATAAGCAACATATTTTCCTCTGACGACAGATGAATTCATTCAAAGTCATCTGACCTTGCTAAGATTCAAAATTACTGTCAGAAGTGATGAATGATGTAACAGATAACAGAAATACCCCCCTCCCCTTTTAATCATCTTAAAGCATCCAGACAATAAAACTTTCTGACTTTGATCTGGTGAGTTAAATAGTGCAAGGGTTTGATACTCACCCACTAAACACTGGACATTGGATAGTGCAGATATTGTCTATATTGGGTCAGTCAGTCCTTGATTCTGGACATGACTAACTATCAGCAAAATGACATGCAACTTATGGTTCTGTGTTTAACAATTACAACACAGTTAATACCATTTCTCTCATTCAGAATCGTGTATAATGACGGCCCGCAGACACATTTCTTATCTTTTCACGTTCCTGCAGCCACACACAGACACTAATCTTCCGCGGTCTATGAATCAGGTCTACGCAAACAAAATCAAGACATTAGAACAGACGTTTTCGTCACTTAAACTGCATTTCTCATTCATAATATTAATTCAAACTATACTTTGATTATATATTTTATTAAGAATAGAAATGATTTACTATTAGCAAAAGCACATTTAGATAAACTCTGTTTAGCACTCTGTATCGCTTTAAACATAAAAGGCTGGATGTTAAGTCTTTTTACCTTTTCTCAGATGTAATGAGAGGTAACCCGCATAGCAGACAGGTCTGTGCCGATCTGGTGTCAAGCCGGCACTGCTGGCTGACTGCTGGCATGGTAAGTGGTATGTCATCCAGATATGGGTCAGGCCTGCCATAGATGGCAGTGTTTATGTGATGGCATGCCACATCTGGCCCGATTGTGGTTTGGTTTATGTGGCCCAGGCTCACAGAAAACAGGTCTGGCCCAGATCCGGCATCATACTGGCACTGCTGACTGACTGGTGTCATGGCAGGGTGTATGTCAGCCAGATGTTGGCCAGGTGTGGCAATGATGGCATTTATGTTCCTATTCTCCTATTTTAGTTAGAAGACCCAAATACCATGTGAGTGATTTTGTAATGAGGGTTACACTCAGAGAATTACTTACATTTGGATGTAGAAAAGATGAATGAAGTCACAATTTAAAATGAAAGGTTTTTCAGATAGTGGTTGTAATTTTTAATCAGGGTTAGTGTTATAAGGCCTACATCTGCTTTAAATAGTTTTAGACTTATTCTTGAAAGAATTAATGATAGCTTATCACTGAAATAGGTCTGGCTTCAAAAAGTGTTTTTCTGCTTAAGAAATATTAACATGTTTTAGTTTCTGGGCCATTAACCTTTTTAGGTTCAATAATACTGTCAAATTTCTATAGATGTGCTAACATGATGATGAAATGTGATGGTTTGTGGTTCCATGGTGGAGGTAAAACTTCTTTTTTTAGAGACTAGCAAAGCACTTCCTCAATATCATTCCAGCCCATAATATACCCTAATCTTAGATGTTTGTGAAACCTTATTTGGCCCATTGCCAGGTGATTGAGGAAATAAATGCTTTGTAATGTTCTGTGTCATGATTGCTTTTATGAATGAAAAATAACATTAAGTGTTGACCTAACAGACTTCCGATCAGTCTGGATTAGATGCAGGGCATCAGCTGACCATCGACTGGGCCTCATTCAGAGGAAAAGGTTTTAGTTATATTTATCTCTCCCTGTGGGCTCACAGAGACAACCCCCTTCTTAGAAGTCAGGGATCAGCAGCTGGGATAGTCAGTGAATCTCATTAACAATGACACTCTGAAGCAAAAGACAAGCTGAGAACCACACTATACATCAAGTGTAATTGATTTTTATCCGTCTCTCTACCTCCCTTTCTCTCTTTCTCTCTGTCTAGAAAGACAGAGAGAAAGGGATCAAAAATCTATCAATCCATCTTTTGCATATATATATATATATATATATATATATATATTTTTTTTTTTTTCTGTATATATATACACACATATATAGCACTTCAGTTACCACTGGCACCCATGTTACCTGTTATCTTCTCGTCTCGAGCTCTTGTCTGAGGCCTTGGTACTTCTCCAGCTTCTCGTCTTCCTTCTTCCTGATGTTGCTGTCATTCGGTATCACTACGTCTACCACTACGGCTATCTTCCTCTGCTTGTCCGCCACTACGTGCATGTAGTAGTAATAGTAGTTGTTGTAGTTCTGCTTTTTCTTAAAGTGATATTACAAGATAAAAGCAGCAAATTTGTGGGACCTGTTTGTTCAGCTGGTTTGGTAAAGTGGTTAATTTATTTATTAGTGGAAGCTTGTTAGGGGCTGTCTGACATTATTATTTATGTACTTTTTTCTCCTGTTTTGAGGCCACCCAAGGACTTCAGGCGATATATCTTTGGTTTCAATCTTGAGAATAGTGTTTGTGTACTTTCTATTAACAGTTGGAGGGTTTTGTGGTCTAGGAGACCCTGGTGTTAATTTGCTTCCCTTTTCTTCTCCTATTCATTTTCATTGTGTAAGTTAATTTTAAATAGTTAATTGTAAAATTGAAAAAGTTTTTTAATAATAATAATAATAATAATAAAATTAAAAAAAACCTTTTGACACAATGGCTAATTTGTTTGGAGGCTAAGTCTATGGTTTGGTCTGTTAACACTTACTGTTACTGTGTTACTGACACTGTTTTACACTCCATAGCTCCCCTAGACTTCTCAGGCAAGAGGACTGTAACAATCATGGATGAAACAACAATTCAAAGTTTAATTATAAATGGTTTACATGACTAAAACTGGTGCTTGGACAAAGGGTTGTAACTGTTTGCTAAAATAAGGATAGCTGTTAACTGGGAAAAACTAATTAACAACCTCAAATTAATGGCTCAAGAAAAGTGGAAATGTTGGTGTTTCATGATAAAAAAAGAAACTGATAAATTAGGAATACCCTTTTCATTCTAAAATGAATGATTCAAAAAAAGAGAGCGTAGTGGCTACATTGACAACACGTGAAATACGTAGTTTAAAGCATAGTACAGCTGTAAGCTATCACTGAACATCTGGTTAAAATTTCAATCACTTTCGTGTAAATAATTCTTCCTTCTCCTTTCTTTCATTGTTCTCATCACATAAAAGGTCTTGAATAATCAGGCCCCATCTCATCTGAAAGACCTCATAGTACCATATCACCCCAATTAACCCTCAAACTGCTGGCTTACTTGTGGTTCCCAGGATGTTTAAAAGTAGAATGGGAGTTAAGCTGCTGGGGGGCTTCCCTTGTTGCAGTGAGCATTCCTTCTTCTCTCACCTCTTTTCACTCACTGCATTTAATTATTAGTTATTGATCATCTCTGGCTTTCTTCTACATCATATTTTTGTCCTGTCTTCCTCCCCTAACCCCTAATCTTTGTATTGTCTGTATATGAATTTCTTTTGGAAATTGTAACATCAGTTTGCAGCCTTTCAGATGTTATTTGTGAAGAACAAAAACAGCGTGTTTCTATTTCTGTCTTTATTAATTGCTAAAAAACAAAACAAAACAAAACAAAACAAAAAAAACCCATCAACCGAACATTTGGGAGTTAAAGAATGCACAGGTCAGCTTGGACTGTGTCAATGTTCTTGATAACACACAATTTAATTAATTAATTAATTGATCTGCTCCTGATAAAGGATGAGAGAAGTTGAAAGGGACCGTTGATCTTGGTAACAGAGAACAACTGGCATGAACGCCCTTTCCTGTCAATGACTAAACACAATCATTACGATAAAAATGGCACATTTCTCTGTAAGCATTTCAGCAGCAAATTTAAAAGAAAAATCCTAAAATTGCAAAAATCGTCTCATCACAGAGACCAGTTTGCATCCTACTCATAGCTTTCAATAAGATTATTTGTTCTTTTGAAGATAGTTACCAAATTAACAAATTTACAGGAAATGTGGAAATTACATTTTTTCCTTTCAGCTTTAAAATAATTAAAATACACTGACATCACTACTAATAACAATGGGAACACTGACGGAAAGCAGAAAATACATTCTGACCCAAACTTTTCTACAACTTTTGCACAGTTAATTCTTGTCACATCAAAAACATTCATGAATTCAGAGTTCAGTTGCTTCTTGGACAAAAAATAGTTTTTTATCTTATTTGGGTTTTTTTAATAGATAGTGTTTATTGAAGGGTTTTAGATGAGGCTAGTATTTTGAATATAATTTTTTATATCAATATTTTGTCAAATATTTAACGTTCCAAATGTTTTGTTTGTTTTATACTACAATAAACTCAATAGTCTAAATAACAATATTGGTGATGGTTTAAAGAAACATTTTTTATGATGACCAAGACAAAACAAGACAAAAAACGTTTAACGTTTCTGTGCTTTGTCTTTATTATTTCTTATTATTGTTATTATAGATTGAACAAATTTGGACTTCTGACTTCTTTATTTGATTATTTGTTTATTTAGTTATTTATTTTTCAAGCCACTTTTGGTAAGGCTCTATTGTGGTTTTAAGACCATTTCATTTCCATAACAATATTAAAATTAAGCAAAATTCTAAAAATAGAAACAAAATTCTGACAGAATCGCATCATTTTGGGAAAAGAAAATTTGACAAGATCAAAAATGATCAAAATGTTTTTTTAAAAAAAGTAAATAAATACAAAGAGTTGACAAATGAATTATATTTGACCCTTTATCTGAACATTTCCACCTTATTGAGGTTTTTAAAATTTAATTTAAAATACATGGAAGGCAAGTTACTTATGATTAACAGGAAAATACAATTACAGTTTAATTGAAAATTGGGGTTAAAAATAGTTTGTTTAAATAACAAACTGATTTTATTTATAATCATGACTTATGTGATTTTTTTAATAGGTAAGTAAAGTTTGCCTCAATATTATTTTTCTTTTTGAGCAGAGTAGACTTCATATGTAGAACAATAATAAAGCATTGGTAAAAGATTTATTCATGACGATTAAAGAAAAATGAACTGTTGTTTAAAGCAGCTGAGCTCTGCATTCATAAGTGCGTCCCTGTATGGGAAGGTAAAAGGGGATAGAGGACAGTTTTCTTTAATTCATTTTCATATTTTAAACATCTGATAGTAAGTGCTACATGTTCTAGTTGTTCTTAGAGGGTGAGTATAAAGTCTGATTCCTCTATGTGGATCACTTTCTATGTATGTCGTAAGTGTTATTCAGTAAAATTAACCTTGATGCATCAAAACACATCAATAAGTCACTATTTTATCATGCTTTGACTGTCTGGTAAAGTGTATTTTGCAGAGAAATGCTGTGTATCAGCATGTTTGGATATCTGTATAAAATCTGAAGAAGCACTTTATGTTCTGACCAGGTCTTGAATGACGCAGGACCACAATGATCCACATTAAGCAGATGAGATGAAACACAATCCATCCCAGCCTACGGGAGTTACAGCCACTGACTCTCCAGTAGGTGCTGCGACATGACGGTTTGGAACTACAAACAGTGTCTGGACCTCTTTTACTTTCCAATCAGTTTGAAAGTCTGTGAGTCCTGGTCAGCTGGAGGTTTCGTGACTTGGCTACATGGCAGAGTTCACATGTATTTTGTGTACAAACACGTACTCCTCATCTGACCCTGTACATCTGCTTGTTTGTCCTGCATGTTTAAGATGATGAGGTGACATTCCCCGAGGACACTACGGTTGTCTCCCTCGGTGAGTACTCCACTTCCTCCTTGTTGGGATGAGAGGAGTTATCAGACTTGCTGCGGCTAAACTCCGCCCCCATTATTGGTCCTGTGAGCTTGGTGCGTGGTCGAATGAAGGCAGTACAGCACAACAGTGTCTTTAGGAATGCACGCCGCATCTCGTTGCTGGTCAGCGTGTAGATGAGTGGGTTCATGGCAGAGTTCAGGACTGCAAGTGCCAGGAACCACTCTGCCTTGTAGAGGATTGGGCAGCTTAGCGTCTCACAGGCCACATCTAGCAGCAGGAGGATAAAGAGTGGTGCCCAGCAGGCAATGAAGCAGCTGAGAACGATGATGACTGTCTTCAGGAGTGCCATTGACTTCTCTGAACTCTTACTGTTTGCACTGGCATTGCTGCGACCATTGGACACTTTGCGGAAGACCAGTTTGCGGCTACGAGTGCGCACCAATGCATAGATCCTGGCATAGAGCACCACAATGGCCATAAGAATGATACTGAAGACAGTGGTGCAGAACAGGATGTAGGCTTTGTGGTAGAGTGGTAGCACGGTGGAGCACTGTGTCATACTCTGGATGCAGTTCCAGCCCATCACCGGCAGACCGCCTAGAATGGCTGCGATCATCCACACAGTGCTGATGAGTAGAAAGACGCGGAAGGTGTTCCCATTGTTGTGCAGCTTCATCTTCAGCATGGTGAGGTGGCGCTCAATGGCAATGGCAAGTAGGCTGAAGACAGAGGCCGCCAGCGCCACAAACATGCTGCCTTCCCTGAAGAACCACTGGGTGGGTGTCAACTTGTAGGTATTGGCACCTGACAGTAGGATGTTGGCAGTGTAGACGACACCAGCCAGAAGATCAGACAGTGCGAGGTTCCCAATGAAGTAATACATGGGCTTGTGGAACTTCTTGGTCCTCCAGATTGTAGTCAGGACCAGGATGTTCTCTAGGATGATGAAGCAGCACACAATGATGAAGATCACAGAATCAGCCTTCAGACCTGAGTCCTGCTCCGTCTTCCGGAACTTGCCGGTGTAATTGTAGTGTTTGGCAATCAGATCAGAGTAGCTGGGCTCAGCCATGGCCTCCATCTGCAGCACTAGTCCAGCAGGGGGCACCGTGTCCTCAGACTTCAGTCCTTCATGTTTGGTAGTAACTGTGAAGAACAGCAGAGAGAGTCCAGCTGAATGGTGACATGGCCCTACAGAGAGAAAGAAAAAAACATTAATAACTGGTCTCACATCAGCATATTAGACAACAAATAGTCTTAAATCAGAGTCTACACTACAGAAATATTCTTCTACAGAACCCTTCTCATGCACTTTGATTAGAAACTATTCACTGAGAGCCAGAACAAACAAAAAATGTCACTTCAGTTTGTGATGAAACAATGATCCAGCAAAAAAGAGACTAATCTTAAGTAAGCAACTTAAATTCAAGTCATTTAAACTGTAAGTCCATACGAATACTCAACTAAAAGTATCCTTTAGAATCATAAGATAATGAAACCTCAGATGACATCCAAAGCTTGCTTCATCAACCTAGCTGCTCCTAATCAGCTGGTTTGAAAGCAAAGATCAGAAAAAAACTAAACTACTTTTAATCTATATTGTAAGAAAATCTTTCATTTTAGAGTTAAAAAAATGCAACAAATGAAAACAAAAATGAAAAGCAAATCTCAAGTCTGTCTTCAGTCTGATGTATTAAGAGAAGGATAGAAGCTTTAGAATGCCTAAAACACAGTACAACACAACATTGCAGTATATTTTGTTATATTTACCTTTTAATCATTAAATAAAAAAGAAATGTTGAATTGTGCAGCTGTATAAACTTTGCTTTCTTGAGTCTGGGATTTGATTTAATTTAACCAAAAATATATGGAACACCAAATAAAAGAAACCACCAAATGATTAATCTGTCATTCCTGATGTGTCAAAAGAATCTTTTTTGTTTACAACTTACTTTATAACTAATCCTTTACCTATTTGTCATCACCCCCCCCCCCCAAAAAAAGCTTAAAAACAAACAAACAAACAGCAGCATATCACAACATATATATATATATATATATATATATATATATATATATATATATATATATATATATATATATATATATATATTGTTTAATTATTGGAATTATAACTGTAACCTAACTAGCATTCTGGTGATTTGAACGCTCTAAATGCACTGAGGTATGGTGATATCTTTTTCCTATTTTTTGTTCAGAATCATAAACTAACTGAGGATTTTGTTTAGACGGATAATTTATTTGCAAACGGTGATTTTTCTTGCAAACTGAACGCATAGCTTTTATAAAGGAAATGGAAAAAATGTTGGCGTCTTGTAGCTCAAAAGCGAACAAACATCCTTTAAAAAAAACTTTAAAGCCCAGAAATTGATTTGGGTTCAGAAACTCGTCTCTCAGATGTGTTTTATCAGTCTTAAAGAGAAGTCCTCGCATTTCTAACGGTCGCGCCTTACAAGACTACTTATAGAAAAGGTTTCAAATTATTAATGAAATATTTTCTCGGTGATTCCCTGTTCGGTGAAATCGGTTGGTTAGTCCTTGTTCATATTATAAAGTACTTAAGTTACTGCAGGACTGCCTTTTGAGGATTTTTATAAAAACTGTCTGCTTTTTTTTTTTAATCTCTAAAATTCCATTTATTTGATCAAACTGACCTGAGTTCAGATGAACGCGGAGTTCTCCTCTTCACACCAAATGAACGCAAAACGACTTCACGACGATCCGCTTCGGTTTAATTTCAGCTAAAACAGCTAAACAAAGTTTCTATTGCTTGAAGACAAGGTTGATAACACAGACACTTTTTCCCCTTTTTCTTTTTACATCTTCAGTCAGAGTCCCAAGGAAAACAGCCCGCGTCGGAGTGAAAGACACCAGAGACGCACAAACACAATGAAACACACGCACACTCTATCCGAAACACACACTGAAGATGAGGATGGTATGATGACGATACTTCCCTCCTTCGGATCCACGCGTCTTTTTTTGCCGTTTTTCTGCCTTCTTATTATCGTTAATCAAACAAATAAATGAATAAAACTCTTATAAAGATTATTATTAACAGAGACCTGAGAGTAAAAAACATTAGAGTGAACACAAAACAAAAATTGACCTGAGATGTAATTTAAGTAAACAAAGTTTATATTAAATAAAAGAGTAAAAATTAATTAGATGCAGAAACAACATTCTAAAAAATATAATAGCATTTTAGTTATCATACAGTATGTCATTTAGTTTGTTTGTGGGAATCAACCATATGCACTCCCTATACCATGTCCCCCCTCAATCCAGACTTGGTTTGCCCCATAATGAGTCTGTAGCCTCTGTGACCTACATCATATCTTTCATGTCATGGTGTGTGTGTGTGTGGGGGGGGGGGTTGTCATGGATTCATCATGGGTTCATACACTTTCAGCTAACTGTCAAATTATTATTAATTATGTTTCCTGCATCTAACAATGAAGACACTTTTTTAGCACTTAGCGCTAGCATAGCACTTTTAGAAGTTTTCTTACACATAACATAGTAACCGGATGTGGGTGCAAGATCTCTTATTGACGCCTTATTTTGATATTGTGCTTGTATTGTGTCATACTTTAAAAATTTTATATAGCATATACTGTATATGACACACTGACACGCTTAACTGAGTGAGTAGATTTTATATCTGTCTAACCAATTGTATTAAACATTTTGTTGTTAGATATTTCCTGAGACATTATGTATATCTTGTCTTCTGTCTGTCGCTGGGTTTGTGGAAAGATCTCTCTTCATTAGAGATGGACCGATCCGATATTACGTATCGGTATCGGTCCGATACTGACCTAAATGACTGGATCGGATATCGGAGAAAAATAAAAAATGTAATCCGATCCATTAAATATCACGAAAGCACCTCACAAAACTTGCAACACGCCGTAACTCACCTCAGAACGTTAGCACGTCGGAGCAGTATGCATCACGTGATAGAGCGGCTGTGGCATGCATTTCATCTCCGACAAAGTTATCCCGAGAGAAGTAAAGCAAGTGTGTAAGTCCATCTCTGAATGTTTGTAAAGCATTCCTGCGTTAAGCTTAACAAGCGACTGCCTCTCCTGCTGCTACTTCAATCATGAAACTGCTTAAATCAGCTGATCGGCTTTTCTGTCGCGAGTCCGTGTCTCTAGTTTGCTTTTGGCCCACTTTGCACCAGAAAGAGGAAACCAGCGGCTGAACAACAGCAGCACATTTAAGCTTGATCAGCTATTGTTAGAATGTATTTAATATTACTTTCTACTCGAGGATCTTTTTCTACGTAGCTGACGCTGGTAGCTGTGCAGGGGCGGATCTAGCAAAGTTTAGCCAGGGGGGCCAATAGGCCATTAACAGGGAAAAGGGGGCACAAAGACATACTTTTCTTTCTTATTCTCATTTAAAATGTCTAGCTTTTAATAAATAATTATCTGACACCCAAAGTTTTAATTTGATGTAAAATGAATAGAAGTCAATTACTGTATATAGTGACTATTAAGTCTAATATATATACCCTAGTAAGCTATAGTACATTTTCCTTTGGGAAGGTACCATCTGTGCAGTCTGCAATTTTGTTGAAGAAAGCTGTTGAATCTATTTAATATTTCTTGAAAAATAATTGATTTCTGTGCATTTTTTTTCACACTGCATCAAATTAAGGTTGATTACGTCGATTAAGCATCATGAGGTGGAGCGTGAGGGGTGGTTCCCTATTTTTTATTTATTTATTTTTGTTGTTGCTGGGAGTTGGAACACTATTAGTTAGGTTGCTTAATATTTATGCTAAGTACTCTTTAAAATACCAGAATAGGGAGGATGGTGTAGGTTTAAGTTTATTAGATTGATCAGTATTGCTGAACTATGAAATATTTTTTTTTGCATACAGGTATAACAGAATAGCTTTAGTGTAGTTGTTGTTTTAAACTTGAGTATGAACTTATACAAAATGCAGCAAGATGTTTAAAAAACAGTTTTGTTGATTAAAAAACACTATATCGGATTCATATCGGTATCGGCAGATATCCAAATTTATGATATCGGTATCGGTATCGGACATAAAAAAGTGGTATCGTGCCATCTCTACTCTTCATCATCCTAATTTGTTTTCCTTTTATTTCAAAAATTCTTAGAGTAGATGTCAAGCAGTTATATGATCACTTGCAAAAGAATGGTTTATTTGAAGAGTTTTAGTCAGGATTTAAAGTGAATCATAGCACATAATACAGAATTACAATAGTCCATCCTAGAAATAATAAATGCATGAACAGGATGTTTCTAGTTTTAGAGATTTGTTTAATATGATCACCGAACATATCTTGGGGAGATGGGTAATGCCATCTAAAGTAAGCATCTGGTTGGACACTATATTTTTACATTTTTTTGTTCCGAGTACAATAATCTCAGTTTGGGAGTAAGGGTAAGACAGCTGGGTCAAGTGACGGCTTCTTACATTTTTTTTCTTCCTATCTTTCTCCATTCAGCCATTCGATCCTTATACAATCGTTGTAAGAGCTTGGTCCGGACTCATTCCTGGTCAGTGTTGGACTCTGCCAGACTTGCCCTTTGTCATTGATTCTGTTCAGTATTTTCATGGACATAATTTCTAGGTGTAGCCAGCTGGCAGAAGTGTCATTGTACTGGGTTCATGGCTCAGTGTTTCTATGTTTCTTATTCTCTCATGTGGCATTTAGCTTCAGTTTAGTTTCTAGTTCTTAGGCTTTTGTTCATTTTAGTCTGTTCCCATTTCTGCTTCCCTGTGTAGTCTGTCATGTCTATCATGTGTGCCAAGTCTCCATGTTTATTCATCTGTTTCCTAGTCGTGTCTCTCTTGTGTCTTACTGTGTGTTTCATGTTTCCTGTTTTATTTTGAAAATCTCCTGGCCTGTGTGCATTATGTTCAGTTTTGTTTCCCTTTCTTGTTAGTCTGATTGATTCCAGCAGCGTTTCCCTCCTGTTTCTCATCCCTTCGTTTTCTTGGGTGTATTTAGTCCTCTGTCTTCCTCTGCTTGATGTCGTTGTTGTTGCTGTGTGTTTCCTTGTGCCCCTCGGTTTCTTTGTTATTTCTAGTCTGTTCTAAGTTTCTAGTTTCAGGTTGTGTTTTTCTGTATCTAGTGTTTCAGTTTTTGCACAGCCAATGATACACCTTGGTGTTTCCCTAGATAAGCTGGAGATGGCCGAGAGAGAGAGAGGTCTGGGCTTCTCTGCTTAGGCTGCTGCCCCCTGGCCCTGGATAAGCAGGATGGATGGATGGATGGATGGGTGGTCTTTTTCCAGTCCCCAATGAGTCACACCAAATGACTTCCCCTTCCTGATCCTGGTTCTATTGGAGGTTTTTTCTTTTTAAAAGGGATTTTTTTCCTTCTCACCGTGACTAAGTACTTGGTCATAGGGGGATTATCTGATTGTTCATGTTCTTGGGACTATAGATATTTTTAAGAAACCTTGATGATTCAGAACACAAAGTTACATCACAAAAGGACACGATGACATCAAAAACATTACCCCTCTTAAGAATAGTGAAGATTTTATCTTTTTTACCAAGAAAGACACTGACAATAGCTCTGAAAGGCGCCATCATTGGGATCATTTCTGTGAGATGCCTGCATGATGACCTTACTTCCTGTCCAGGCACTGCCATTGTTTGAGATCTGCAGGTCAACCGGTTATACAGAAACTGTTGATAAGAATATTGAGATAATGACAAATTATATAAAATGCATGAAACCTTGGGACCCTCCAGTAGGTCTATCTAGTGGCTGTTATGCTGAATGATGCATTTTGCTAGCAAGCTTTGGTTCCAGGTGCCCCCTTAAAGGGACAGCAGTGGTACCGTGTTAACTCCAGGTAGACGGCAGACTGTCTGTCTCCCTGCAGAGAACATCTCTTTTCAGACAGTGTCTAAAATATGTGGTACAGGCAGACTGTGCTCTTATTTGTGCTGTTATTGGAACGTCAGTCAGCTGTGGGGAAACATAAAGTACTTATGAAGAGCAGACATGAAAAATGAGTGTTAAAAACAATGACCACTGCAGAGATTATCTGTGCTTTTCATGCCATATTTTTTTATTTTTGACATTATTTCCCGGTGACCTGCACTGTTGCTTCCCTTGACCAATGCACAGTGTCTTACACATTAAGCAATTTGCAGTTAGGATTTTGGAGTACTCCATGGGAGCAGCATGGCTGAAAACCCTCTCCATAGATAAACTCACAAAATCTTGATAGCATACATTTTGTACTAGAATGAAGGAGCACAGCATGTTGAAACAGAATTTAGACTTTATCATATGATAAAGAATTTCTATCTTGAGGCAGTGTGTAGTGTACTTCTCACTGAACTGAAAATGATGTGAATGAAATGGTGTTGCCTTCACAGGTACAAGATCTCGACCCAACTTAGCACTTTTGTAAGATGCTTGATTGATGTCCTAGAAAACTGAGTACATGTAAAGGATGAGCTTCTGAGAATTTACAGTAAATCCAGCTCTCTGGCTTTAAAATTAGATTGGACTCCTTTCTAATGACTGTTTATTACAAATTAAATTCCAGTATGGCTTCAGCGCATTTCTTGTTTGGTATAAAAAATGTACAGAAAAACCAGAATGCAATAATTTGGAAATAATTTAAAGCCTTCATTTCATTTAATACAAAATAGTCCAAAAACATCAAATTGAATGTTGAACCTAAGAAATCATACTACATATCTCATGAAAAGAGAAATGTTACTGCATATATGTTTTTGGACCATACTGGGGCTATATTGGTGTATTTGGTAAATGCTGCTGCTGGGCATATGACCGAGGTTCGATTTTATTTTGCTGAAGACGAAGCTGACATTAACAGAAAGTGTTCAAGGGTGAGAAAAGGGGAGGACAGAATAGG